CCCCCCTCCCTGTGCCTTACCAGGCCACATGCCCTCGGCATTGGTGTCGCTGGGGACAAGGGCCACTTCCCCACAACCCTGACCCGGTGGTTGTGGGGGTCTGCGGGCAAGGGGGGCTTATTTGCATTGGGGTACCCCTTTCAAGGAGAACTATGAGGCGAGTGAAAATCACTGACCCTCATAATTCGGGGCAACGTGTGGCAATGAGACTGTCACAGGTCGGCTCAGTAGATCGGGAACACATACCGGCGCTCGCTCACCTCTCGATCCTGTCACCGCTCTCTGCCGTGACAGGGGGAGGGGCTGGATTCCCCCCTCCCCGCTCCGATCCTCCAGCGCTGACTGGAGGAAGGGATGGGGGAGGGGGCGGGTACAGCTGGCTCTGCCTCTAGATAGGAGGAGCCAGCTGTCACTCACGCAGGTGGGTGGAGCCAGACATCGATGTCGGGATCCGCTCCGGGGTCTCAGTATACCGCGAGCTGTAGCTCCCTATATACTGAGCCTAGGGTGACGGGAGGACGCTAGTTTGTGTTCTCCCGTGACCCTGAGGAGAACTATGGGGGAAAGCCCTGACCTCGTTGTTCTCCTTTAAATAAGGGGGCACCCAGATGCCGCCCCCCCCCCCCTTGTGAATGAGTAAGGGGTACTTGTACTGCTACCCATTCACTAAAGGGTTAAAATTCTATGTAAATAAACCACTTTTAGAGAAAGACCTCTCAGTTAAAATAAAAATGGCTCCATCGATGTGATCCGCCGTCAATCACGCCGCCACTCCCCCGGGTCTGCGAGCTCCGAGGCGTCATCGTACTTATCATAGACAACGAAACGGCGATTCGCACAGAACTACCGCTAACGGAATTGGGATTCGTTATTATCTGTCATTGGGAATTTGGGATACATCCGAATCTCCGAAATTTCCATTCGGAACGATACGAGTCGCGCGTGTCTACCGTCATCTATAAATCCCCAAAGGGTTGTCACCGACCTCCTGGAAGCATCTCATTAAAGAGGAACTCCAGACAAAGCCGAACATGAATGAGAATGTAAAGGGGAAATCCGCCGCTTCCGGATGTTCAGAGTTCAAACAGATGCAGGAGATCCTCCGCATTGTTCCTGCATCAGATTGTGCGTCCCTTCCCCACTGACACCAACAACGGGGTTCATGTTTGGCCCCTGAGACCAACATCAGAGTTTATTTTTGGCCCCTGAGACCAACATCAGAGTTTATTTTTGGCCCCTGAGACCAACATCAGAGTTTATTTTTGGCCCCCTGAGACCAACATCAGAGTTTATTTTTGGCCCCTGAGACCAACATCAGAGTTTATTTTTGGCCCCTGAGACCAACATCAGAGTTTATTTTTGGCCCCCTGAGACCAACATCAGAGTTTATTTTTGGCCCCTGAGACCAACAACGGGGTTTATTTTTGGCCCCTGAGACCAACAACTGGGTTTATTTTTGGCCCCTGAGACCAACAACGGGGTTTATTTTTGGCCCCTGAGACCAACAGAGGGATTTAATTTTGGCCCCTGGCACGATCAAGAAGGTTTATTTTTGGCCCCTGGGACCAATATCAGAGTTTATTTTTGGCCCCTGAGACCAACATCAGAGTTTATTTTTGGCCCCTGAGACCAACATCAGAGTTTATTTTTGGCCCCTGGGACCAACATCAGAGTTTATTTTTGGCCCC